TTTGCACTGTTTGTTCCATCTAACATTAGAACCGAGATCTTGAAAGCGGAAAATTTCAGATGGTCGTAGCAACACATTGCAGCACCAGTGTTTTGCAAATGAACGCTTATGGAAGAACCTCACGATGTACAGTAGCTGATCACCGTTACTTGTAGGTTACGCGTTCTGAGGAGCGAGTCAAGAAACGTTGATGGTTAATACCGAGAACGAGAAACAGCTAGTCGAAGTAAATGATATACTAATAGGAGCCAAGGGATTCCGATGGCGCGTTTTGAAGTATCTCGGAAGGGGTTCTTTTGGAGCGGTGGTTCTGGCTGAGAACGTAGACGGCGGCCAGCTGGTGGCTGTAAAGGTGAGTCAGCCCCTGTGTGAGTAGCGTAATTTTAGCTGATACAAAAGCATTTCAGGTGGAGGATGCTCATCAGCCCCTGAGAACTTTGAGGCAAGAGGTTCTCGTCTTGGAAGCAATGAACAGTGCCGGGGCTCATTACTGTTGTGACCTTTTCGACACGGGACGAAAGGGTGATATTTGTAACTGGATTTCGATGACGCTGGTCGGCGAAAGTCTGATGAAGCTGCGCAAAAAGACTCCCAAAAAGCGATTCTCGTTGCTCACTGCGCTCTACCTTGCTGCCAGCTCGCTGAGAGCGATCGAAGAACTGCACGAAGTGGGGTACCGGAGGCTTTTACTGTTTTGTTGGTTATTAGCCTCGTAATTCAAAGTGGGAACACGAAATGAAACTGATAATCTATAACTAATGTTTGATATTCAATTTATTCATTTTCCCACTTACTTTCAGATGGCAGTGTCAGCTGCTTTCCGGTTGCCTTTCCCATTGGGTCGTTTAAATGCCAAATGGGAAAGTCCGCTGTTTGGGTCGAGCGACCTGATCATCCGTCTTCATCTGGGTCATATTCTCCATGGCTTCGCCAAGATTGTGCACCGGGGAGTACTTTCATATGCCATCCTCATTGCGTATGCAAATCATCAATTCGTGAAGCTTGCAATTATGAAGTTGCGGTGATTTAAAACTAAACTGTCTATCTTTCCTAATTTCACTCAAAAAATGGCCGGCGACAGTTCTTTCCTCAACGGCGGAACCTACAAACGGTTGAATCATAGGTACGGCCGTTGTTCCCACAAAGCGTCACGTCGGCAGGGTGCATCGAGTGCTGCAGTCGGTTCATAAAATTTAGAGAAGGTCAAAACCCCTCATGCTTTGTCGTACTTACATCCGCAGCATATGTCTCCAAGGTAAATTGCCTCTAGTCGACCGAACCACGTAGGTGAGGGAAGTAGAAAAGTCAGATCCTTAACTTCAGAAAACAAAATGGCCGTAAGAATTTGAACGGGCGGATTGATGCGCGAAACGGATATGCTGCTGGTTTGATCTGAGGCTCTGGTGTGAGTTTGAACCTCCAAACGCCTGAGTGGTTCAATTGACCGCTCAGTATGGAAGTACGAGCTGACTAGTTAGAAGTTGATTCGGAGTTGCACAGCTTCGAACACAGCTTTGTACCCTCATAATCGTGAGGTTCAGGCCACGGATGCGATTTTCCTGACTTAGTATTTTGACAATATATTTAGCTTTGCGATGAAAAATGATGTTCGTCGGCTATCCCGCTCAAGCCATGACGTTACAAGTATAAATGGGACAGGACTGTTCATGATTCCTAACAATTATTTTAGCACCTGCAGTGCGTAGATGCAAAAGCGTATCAGTGAGCAGTGATCCATTGAATATTACTGGCACCTTCGAAAAATAATTACCTGAGCAAAAATCAATTTAAAATAGTTACGAAAGAAGGTATCGAATCGTTGCCTCTTTGAATAGCATTTAATGGCCTTCGCATTTCGATCCATGGTCCCTATAAATTGAACATCTACAGCCTTTCACATCAGAATGGCTAAAGGGAAGACGGTATCATATATTTATCGAAGCTCATTATTAGTCAAAATTAAATCCAACAGTAAAGTAGCTTCACTTTAGTTTATTCCAAAGCTCTTTAACGAAATCAGACCGCACCTAGAGAATTAAGATTTTCGAATGTAGTACAAAATGGGCTATTCACTGAGATCAGAAATCTACCTGAATCTTGATCAACCGGATAGGTAGAAAGCAAGAAACGTGGTTTATAAGATCAGCTGCAATGGTGGTGAGAAAATGTACATCTCAAAAACTAACTGGAGATTGGAAAAAAAGTTTGTAGAACATCTAACAGCTCTGAGGAATTGGAAAACGGTGTATTCTTGACACTCTTTTACTCTAACGAATGTCACTTCTGTTTGTAAAGAAAGAGCGAACATCAGGTTATTATATAAAGAATGCTTACGGATGTTGGCCAAAAAAACTTCTTTAGTTTGAATGACAGCTCGAACGTCATCGCCAGCTTGTCCGAAAGAGTTAATGGAATGAAGAAGGCTCTCACTGAAATGTTGCATAACTGTTGCATGATATCGTGCTGCTTCATTTGCATGTTATCACTTCAATGATGACACTGGCGTGCGGAGTTAAAACGCCTGCGTAAACAGATGATCGATGTCTTTCTTCTTCCCAATTATTCTAACAGAGAGCAAACAGCTTGAGGGTAGACCTTAAGATCGATGGTAGGATGAGCTGAAGAGGTTCATTGGATCAAGATGGATAAACATCAAAGAAAACAGAAGCTTATGGCTCAGTCTTCGAGAAATCTTCATCCAGCAATGGGTAGGAAAAAGCTGACGATGATTTTTATATCCTATTTCTTCGCTGAGGGTCAGTTTCATGCTGATTAACCAAAAATGCTAAATCAGATTCCACTGAGGCTTTCATTAACGTTAGCAGTTCCTACCGTTGTAACTGGCAAAATGAGGTGTTGCGTTCTAAAGCAGGAAATTTCAGATTCATACATCGTGATATAAAACCTGCCAACTTTTCGATCGGCATCGCTCCACAGCAGCGACAACTCTACATTTTGGATTTTGGAATGGCCAGACGATATCGAAAGGAGGGTGGTAGGTTTCGAGGAGCTCGTGATAGTCCAGGCTTCCGAGGTACTCCGAAGTACGCTTCCGTGGCGGCGCTAAATATGGAGGAACAAAGCAGGCGGGACGACATTTACTCATGGTTTTTTATGGTCGTTGAATTCACCTCGGGAAGAATGCCATGGAATGATCAGCAGTACCAAGTATATATAAGATTTTGAATTAATTTTATTTTCTTTTCGGTTTTCTTGTTCTTCATCGTTTTCTTTCTTCTTCGTGTTTCTCTCCTCCGTCACAAAATCACGTTTATTCGCGCACAATTATAT